AGATAAAGTCAGATCTTAGAATATCTTTAGATGACCCTGATAAGTACATTGATGTCTTTAGAGGACTTAGGCTTACAAATGCTACTTTTAAACCAAGGTTTGACTTCTAATGAAGATAGCATTACAAGCTGCTATTGAATTTTGAGATAAATATGATAATGCTAATTTTAAATAGCCAAGAGATAGCCAGTGGAACTACCTATTCCCACTGGAGCTCAAATAGTCAGACCCCTGCTGGCCTAGTAGTCAGGCAGGAAACTAAAAAAGACATTTTCTTCAGGTGTGTATTCTTGAAGGTCTAAGAACTAGAGCCAAACCTTCCAGTTATTTTAAATTTTAGCTATTTACCAGGAGAAAGATAAACACCCATCTGATTTTTTTTTTTTTTTTTTTGCGGAACTGGGGATTGAACTCAGGCCCTTGCACTTGCCATGAAAGTGCTTATTCCACTGAGCCATCTCCCTGGTCCCTTGATTTCTTAAAATATATTTCTTAATATAGGCACTGGTAAGACATACCAATGCCTCAGTAAGACATACTTCCTGAGATGCTCATTCAATAGAGTGACAAATTACTCTTACAGATAAATTCATTCCTCAGTCAGCTCCAGATATTAGAAGAGAGCTACAAAAGATAGTTTTGCTCTATATAACTTAATACTGTAGTAAAAACTGCTTCTTTAGTGTCCTATAATTGGGAATGGGAGAACACAAGGAAGAGAAAACAAAGAGAAAAAATGGGGGGCTGCCTTTGTTGTAGTCTCAAAACAGACCCTAAGTCTAATTCTCTGGGCTCCACAAAAAGCTCAGTGACAATGAGGTTCATCCGCTGATGAAGTTCCTCTGCTACTGCTGTCAGAAGGCAGGCCAGCACAAGAGGGACTGCCTCAAGGAGCCCTAAACCATGCTCTCACTGCCAAGGCAGCTGTTAGAAGTGAGGCTGCACAATGAGGTGGAGGCCCCAGAGCTCAGACTCAGCTTCCCAGATGGTCCAGTGGGACTGAAGGGCCCTGGGCCTGCCTCCTCCCTCTGGCCAGACTGTTATCTCTACCTGTCATCTCCACAGATGACTCCTGAGTAATCATGAGTAAAAGAAAAAACCCAGCCTATTGCTGGATATTGGTACAGGTCTCTTTGTCCTTCTCCAACCTTGAACTTCCTTCCAGTCATTGTATCTCAATAAAAACAGAGTTCAGAAGATATCTTGCTTTAGCTGTAACTGAGATACTACAATATATGTTCAGGTTGTTTACTAATCAAAATGATGTGGAGACTGATTTTTTACAAATGTAATATATATTGTTTATGTTTAAGACTTAAAAAGGTACTTCACTAGTTAAAACAGATCACTAAGGACAGATAACATCCTGTCAGCATAAAACAATGTCCAATAACTTTGGGCTTAAAGAGCCAGGTCTTGTATTTGTGACATAAAACTCAGAGCCACAGTGTTTAAAGGAGAAATCCTTTGGCAGTGCCCCTTGCTTACAATGGAGGCCATACCTAAAACACTGAATGGAACGGCCAGCCAAATAGCTCAGCAGATTAAAGCACGTGCAAGCAGGCACAGGGGCCAGGGGTTCAATCCCCATGCCTGAGGTGCCATCTCTGACCCCGGGGCACACTGAGAAGGTGGTTGAGACTGGGTGTGGTGGTGCGGGCCTGTAATCTCAGCTCTTGGGAGGCTGTAAACAGGAGAATCACTACAAGTCTGATCTAGTAGTAAGACCCTGAACACCCTGTAGACCCTTCCCTAAAATACAGAAAAAATAAAAATAAAAACGAAACACTAAATGGGACATTGGTTTAATCTGACTAAATTCTATGTATTTCATGATAAATGTGTAAGTTCACCTGGTTGATTTCTGAACTAAAGCTAGAGGGACATATTGCAAACTATTAGACTCCATAAGTAAAGGGCTCTAAAAGTCAGTGAATTATAATTGCTATTGCTTTAAAAAGGTTTCTAACTTACCTGCCAGCTCAAATGCTCATGTTTTGATTACACATGTTCTAATCCTTCAATGCCAACACCTAGGTGATCATACAGGTAAGACCTGTAGCCAATATGCTAGATTACATTTAGATTCCTTTCACTGGGATCCACCAGGTTTTGTCTATAGAGACATATTAAGGCCTCCATAACTATATCCAACTCATACAGCCTAGATGAGCTGAGTCTTCTTGGAGTTTCCTGCCTCATTATAAGGGAAGCTATCTTCATGTTCCTTGGGCAGGGCTGACTGCCCTCAAAGATACTTCCTCTATCCATCTAATCCTATATCAGGAAATCCACTACAGGGGGAGTTGTCCTCACATTCCTTGAACAGGGCTGCCTGCAGAGGCCTTAAAACCAAAGTTATATCTTGCTCAGTGGGTTCCAGATATCTGACATAAGCTGCAGAAGTTAGAAGGGTTTTCAGGAATGAATCTGTCAGAGTTGAGGTGTTTCATAGTAGAAAGTATACAGAATGAAATTATGGACAGAAAATGAGAATAGTGATACTAGCAGCCTACAGGAATAAAGGTCAGTCAGAAACAGGGAAAGAGTTAATGTTTGCCTGGATCCAGACAGAGAGAAGGGACATTTCAAGCAAAAAAATATCCAAAGCTGTCAGTGAAGGAAAAAAGAAAGTGTTCACGTTGCAGTCAGAGGAAGTTTCAGATTGAAGTGGTCTTGGCTCTTCCTCTCTCAGCCTCAAGGAACCTGTATTAACTGCCAATATAAAGAGAAGGCCTGTTATACTAAATGCTCAAGCAAATGTGTCAGGAGTGACCCAGCCAGTGGCCCTACTTGCAAACTGGAGAGTACTCAGTGTTTTCTCTAGGTCCTGTAATTCATGTGCCCCTAGTAATAAGAGTTGGCCAGTTTATTTGGGACAATACCCAGTGGCTATGGAAGATAAAAAAGGGATTAAACCCCACATTTAAGAGATATCTGCTAATGGACCTACAAAAAGTTCTAACTGGTCTTTGTATAATTATAAACTTTAAAATATTATGACACTCCAGATCCTTCTAATGTCTCAATAGCTATTCAAAATATTAGACAACAAATCAATGGTATGTAAGATGCTGAGGTCCCCTGGACCCTATCTTTATCATTTTTATGGGAAATCATTACTATTTACTTGGTGAAAATCATTTTGACTGTATTCATAATTATCCTAGTGATATTATTTGGACCATGCATATTTAATAGTTTCTTTGGCTTTGTCTCCTCCAGATTTAAAGTGATTCCACCTACCCAAGATAAAAATGCCTGCTGTCTATTGAGGGCCTTTAGGTAGAACCTCTAGAGAGTACCTCTGACTACTGCTCAACAACTACAATCCCTTTCAGCCTGAAGAAAACAGAGCAGTTATTGCCCATGGTTCCCTCAGTGCAGTTTGTGTTACTTCTTCAGAGGGGGGAACGTTGTAGGCAGATGAATTAGGTACAAATATTATAGGCAGTCAGACAGGGCCAGACCCTCAAGGAGACAATATGGAAGACAAGGTGACTTTGCAACTTGGAAGAGACAGACACTACCATATGGGCCAAATCTCAAGACAAAAGAGGAAACAAATGCAGCTACATACTTCCCTATGGATGGGCATCAGGGACTGATATTCTAAATACATATCAATCACCTTGAAAGAGCCAAAATGAGTCATTAACCCAACCCCCAACAGGAAGAGACCTTGTCCTATATTCATGCCTGCTTGCTACATGACTTGTTTCCTCATTTGATTCTGTAGTTAATCAATTTTACTTGAGTAATGGTGCTTGTAATCTCATTGGTTGCCCATAGTTTTGGCCTATCTCATGTCCACCTAAGTGAGTTCCCATGTTCTCCATCACCTTAGACCCACCTCACTGCATGGTGTTCCTCTATAAAAGTCACTAGAAGAGATAGCTTTCCAGGGATCACCAACTTGGTGCCCCCCTCCTGTCCCTCTCTCAGACAGGAGCTTTCTTTTCTCCAATAAATATATTCTGCTCACAAAAAATAAATCTATCTAGATACATATTTTTAGTGCATAGTCTGAAGTCAGCAGCTAAATTAATAAAGAACAACTCTATATACTGCCCATAATAATATTATACAGATGTAGGTAACTTTTCTATGTTTCCTACAACTATTCATTTAATTTAGAGAACAAGTTTTTTTTTTAAATCTACTGATTAATAATCCTACCTACTTATTTACCTAGCGACTAGGTTAAAATGAGTGAGAGTCATCAGAGACCTAGGAGGAGGACTTAAACTGGCAAGTTGTCTAGATTCTCTATGATTCATCTTATTTCCAAATGAGATAATAAAACTTTTTATCTTGTAAGATTCTAAAGGTCTGGGAAGATGGCTCAGTGGAATAAGTGCTTCCCTGGCAAGTGCAAGGGCCTGAGTTTGATCCCCATTCTCACCAAAAAAAAAAAAAAAAAAAAAAAAAAAAAAGAAACAAGAAAAACAAAAGAAAAGACAGATTCTAAGGACTAAGTAAATTAATTTGATTAAAATACTTGAACAGTACCCAGAACAAGTATGTTGCAAACATGTGTATTATATAATAAGATTGCAAATGTCATTTCACTTTCTTTTAGTGGAAATCAAGACAAGCAATTCTCATTAAAACACTGAGGTGAAGTTTTAAACTCTGGTGAACTGGAGGTTTATCCTGTGCAGGATCTACATTGTTCCTGGCATTTGGTAGGTTGTGACACTATGGACAGCTATTAAGAGGCCTTAACAATAACTATTAAAAGGCCTCAGGGGAAAGAATCCAGCACATTAGAGTATACAGCTCAGAAGATGAGTTCTTAACTACAAGTGTACATTAGAATCACCTATGACTCAAACATATTAATGCCTGGGTCCCATCTTTAACATGTGGCTCAAGTGAATCACAGGTTTACATGAATGCAAAGGAGAAAATTCTTAAATTTATGCTGTACTACATTTCTATATTTAAGAATATACTATATAAAATTAATAAATATATAGTTACATAAACTAAGATACCATATTGGTTCTTTATGCCACCACTCAGAAAGGATGACTTCAAGAATTTCAGCAGACAATGGCTCACTGTCTATTAGACTTGATTTAATTGCTTCTTCTTCTTCTGTAAGTTGTACTTCTGGAGGCTACAGACAAAAATTAGAAAAATAAAACAAATTTTTAAACTCTAGCCAGGTGTAGGGGTACACACACTTGTAGTTTTGGCACACAGGAGGCTGAGCTGGGACAATGAGGTGGGACTTGAACCAGGAGTTGGAGGCCAGCCAGGGCAACATAGTAAGACTATCTCAAGAGATTAAAAAACAAACAAACAAACAAAAATCAGTAACAAAACAGACACAAAAAATCACCATATAGGGTGCCTGCCCATTAGCTCAGGAGTTTAAGTGCCTGCTGAAACAAAGCAGTCAGGCTCAGGATGCTGTGGTTCTATCCCCTCATCCTCAAGCCAAACCAGACCTGCCCTGAAGGCATCCTGAGTGGCAAAAAAAAAAAGAAAGAATCACCATATAAATAAATAATAGTGCATAACATTAATGATTAAGATAGACCTTTTTCCCTCTGGGTTTACTTTTCATACTGTTGCATATAAACATGCTAAAATTTGAACTTTTCTATGTGTATTATTGTTCAATATGATTATAAATTGTAAGTAATGTCTACTACAGCTAAGAGGAATTATTAGTGATAATGTAACTTTTCATACATGATGTCGAAGTCATAACTTATTGGTCTGTTAAACCCTTGTTCAATTTAACTTACACTTACATTTAACTGATTTTTGTCACCTATTATTTAATTATATAGTATTCTCTCTCCAAACTACATGCTGATTAAAGAATGGGCCAATGAGGCACCCATCTGAAATATGTCCATAAGGGAATTATGATAACATAATTAATAGAAAACATTGTTATGATTAACTCAATTTAACCCCCTCTGATAATTACCCTTGAATGGATAGTTAAACAAACAAACAATCCAAAACAGTTTTTACTGGAATTAAATTATCTTGTTGGGTACTTGAGCCATCCAAAATTTTGAGAATGAATAAGGTTAGACAAACTTCTACTTACCAGGAAGTAGGAGCTAATTCTATTTTCTAAAAATAATGTGCCTTAGTATGCCTCCTTGGAAGTTAAATGGTTCAGAAACTCACAGAAGAAAACTGAATGACCATATAAAAACAGTACATATTTTGTTACACTTAAAAACTTGACTTGTTAAGTTTAAAACTCTAGATTAATATACATATTTAAGTTAACTGAATATCAGCTTCTCCCTGACTCTAGTAAATATAGATGGAAAACATTTAAAGAACATGTTTGAAAGTGTGCTATATTACCTATAGGAACAAAATAATTTTATCTGGGTCCACTTATGGTAGCTTATTTGAGAAAAACAAGTTATATCTAGCTATATCAGAAATGATTTAAAAAATGAATTAGAATTAATTGTCTTTTTACAAACCCAGATAGAGCTATCTAAAAAATACACACAAATTTGCCTCTTATGTGTCATTAGAGATTAATATTTTGAGACCTCCACTGGCAGTAGGGCAGATCATTAGGCTACTTGATCATAAAAAAAGCATAATGAATGGGAACCTTATAGCCAAGGTCAAGACACATCAAATGAATGCCACATAGCAGTTTGGCCAAGGAAAGCAACTCTGATTTTTATTGGAGTCAAGTAAACCTCACCATTTCATATTCTAGATGAGCAGTAAGATCTGTGAACACTGGGAATGGTGAGTTTAGAATGAAAATTTCGTGTAGTGCTAGCGATCAAACCCAGAGGCTTGTACATACAAGCTTTACTACTGAGCCACATTCCTACATCTTTAAATGACTTTTTATGTGCTAATCTCTTCATCCTTGTTAGGAGTTTTATAGAGTTTAATGCTATTTCCCAAAGGTAACCTCAATAAGTATAACTATCATCAAGGAGAACAACAGATTTACCTGCTTCTTTGTGTTTTCTTCCTCAAGTTTAATATTGGCCTGAAGTGCCAGTTCTTCAAGTTCTTGTTTGGCAGCTTGTTCCTCCTCAGAATCTTCCTCAAATTCAGGTCCAAATTTCTTTCCAGTTTTGAGCAATAGTTTTTCCTGAAGAACTTCTTCAAACTGAATGTGAAAAATGCCAAAATTTTCTGCCAGCTTTCTTCCACACACAGTTTTGCCAGATCCATGGGGGCCCAGAAGGCAAATTCTTAGTGGAGGAGCCTGCCACAGAGGGTGGGTCAGGAGGAGGTGGAGAATGAAGAAAAGCTTAGAATAAATTAGAAAAAAACAAAGCTTATTAATTGCTTGTCTTAAATTGAACAGGGATGATTGCTTTGAAGACTCAGGGCATTTAGAAAAAAAATTTTTCTGGGACAAAAATTCTGGTGTAAATAACTTAAAGAGAAGTGTATTTTGGCTCACAGTTTCAGAGATCAGTTTATGTCTGAATGATTCCAAGGCAGAAGCAATATGGCAGAAGGGCATGATGGAGAAGAGTCACTCCCTTCACAGCAGCCAGAAAGCCAAGTGAGAGGAAAAAGGTCTGAGAATGGTTATAATGTTTAAAGACATGCCCCCAGTAAACTACTTCCCCCAACTAGGTTCCACTTCTTTTTAGTAACTCTGAATTCACCAGTAAAGCTACTGTCCTCCCAATCTCTCTTTTTTTTTTCTTCAGAACCGGGGATTGAACTCAGGTCCTTGTGCTTGCCAGGGAAGTGCTTATTCCACTGAGCCATGTCCCTGGGCCCCTCACAATCTCATTGTCTTTTAATCCAACCAAGCAGACAATCAACATCAAACATCACAGGATATAAATTAACATAACTCACTGTATCAACAATGGCCCTCAGGGAGTATCAACGATCATAAGATCATCTTGTTATCATATGTCAAAAACATTTAATGAAATAAAATTAGCTTTTTCCTCAAAGTTTTAATGTTAATTAAGAACAGAAAGACACTTTCTTGGTATGATTATAAAAGATGGTTTTACCAACAAAAAATTAGTAGTGTAAACTTTAGAGACCCATCTATTAATTCCTATGTTCTCTATAATAGAAAACACAGGACAGAAAATTCATGTCTATTTGGGCCATCCAGGAGATGCTGAAGATGTCAAGAACAACAGTGAGAGCTGAGATGAAGTAGCAGGTAGTATTCTATGTGTGGAGAAATGACTATGAAACTTGTAAGATGACAGTGACAAGTGGGGAGAGGTGACATATCTGGGTAGTATGAGCCTCAAAGGACCTAGAAAGTATTTGCATCACTTGAAGTATTAAGGAACAGATGGATTTCAAGCAACAGAAGCAGTAAGGTGTACACAGTCATCATCTTTTATTCTTGTGAAGGAAATGATCAGAGGAGCGCTCAAAGATGAAAAGGAAAAAGCATACCAGATAAACACAAAAGAAAGGAGTGGTATCTCAAGGAATAGAAAAACATTTTTTAAAAAATATAAAAAGATAGCAAGACAACAAAAAGACAAAATACCAGAGATAAGAAAGAGCTCTCAGAGCCTGAAAATAATCATGCCAAAGGGCTAATTTCAATTGTACTGTGAACCTTGATAAAACAGGTGACTTTAAGGTAAACATGTACTGTGTGTCCAATATAGTGAATAAAGAACTCTGGACAATTTTAAGAACATCAAGAATGGAAAAAAGACCTTCTTAGTTTCCAGGTAGTTAAAAAAGATAGATTATCTACCTTAGAGTGATGATTAGCCTAGTAATAGTAGATGCTAGGAAATAAGCAATACCTTTAATATTTGGGAGGCAAAATGACTCACAGCTATAAATTCTATGTCCTACTGTGGAAAGTGGCTGGAGAGTGATTACCCCTGTGGAGTATCCTGAGGTGAGCCATGTGAAAAAGCTGTTCCAGATTCCAGAACAGCAGTTGCCAGAAGTGAGCTAAGCAACCAAGCTGCTGAGCAGAGGGGTTTCAGCTGACAACAGCCTCCAAAGTATATAAATAAATACTTGCAGTCAGAGTAGTTCCTTTTCTCCCATCTGGAGAGGGGGCTCCACCTCACCTCACCTCTTTCTGCATTCTGACTCTTGACTTCATTTTTTGATCCTCTGCTGTCCTTCATTCAGGAAATTTCAAGAGCTGAGCTGGACATGGAATCCTACAAATTATCTTATATACTCTGTTTTCCCTAAGAAAGACCTACTTGGAAAATTAATGGCCCTGAAAACTAGAGAAAACTAGAGGTCAAAAATCCTACCCCAGTCAGCCTATCCTTGCTTTACCTGACTTACAGTATCCACCAAGCAAGAGAGTAGTGATGGTAGCTAGGTCTCATTTTCAGGAAAAGAGGGCATATGAGAACCAAATAATAACATTCAAGATATAAATAAAGTTGGTTAAGATGTGTTCCAGCAACATTTCTTATGTTAACCAAATCTGGATTCTCTGGAATTAAGGACAACCTTCATCTCTTGGTTTATGTGTGTGAATGACATGAAATTATATAGCTATAGCTTCACATTACCTTTATATAAATCCTACAGTAATATAAAATGGTTAAGAGTAATACCTTCCTCACTTACAGGTTAAAACTGTAGCAATTAGGATTATCTTCCAATCAGAGGGTATTGAAGGTACAGTGTTGAGGCAGACCACGCTGAGGTAAGTGTTGGAGGTATTAAGGTAGGGGTTTTGAAGCACAGGGTGTAGCAGTAGAAGGTATTGAAGTATCATCAGAGGCATTGCTGCTACTAAACTCAATGTGTTTTATGATTTTCAGAACAACTGTGGACACACCATCAGTACTATAAGGACCTACCCATAGGATTTGTGTAAAACAAGGCAACAAATCAAACCTGTACACCAGACTAAAAGGGAAACTACTACTGAAAGCAACAGAAGACAAATGACCCCTGTGTGTGAGTCCTTAAATCTACAATGTATGTTGGGGATTCTTAGTGAAACCATCCCCATACTTCAATAGTCCCCATGGGCACCATAAGATCAAGATTCATAAAAATGGCCAAAGTATCCAGAATACCTTAACAGTGTATTCTATGTAGAGTTAGAAAAGATAAAGGTAGCTGGATGGAGATGGACATGCCTGTAATCCTAGTACTCTAGGAGGCTGAAGCAGGAGGCAGACCACGCTGAGGTAAGTGTTGGAGGTATTAAAGTAGGGGTGTTGAAGCACAGGGCATAGAAGTAGAAGGTATTGAAGTATCAGAGGAACTGATACTTCAATGATATTTTAAAAAATGATATTTTTAAAAAACTGTGGAAAATTATTTTTAAAAAACTGTGGAAAAGGACCATTTTTTTGGAAAAGAAGTAAGAAATATACATATGTATACACAAGATAGGATTTTCTCTTAGTTTATTGAGAAAGAAGTTTTTTTTTAATATTTTTTTATTCTTAGGGAAGGGTCTACAGGGTGTTCAGGGTCTTACTACTACATCAGACTTGTAGTAATCTTCCTGTTTACAGCTCCCCAAGAGCTGGGATTACAGGCATACGCCACTATGCCCAGTCTCAATTGCTGTCTCAGCACACCCCATGGGCGAAACTAGCACGGCAGGCCCAGAGATTGAACCCCTGGCCCCTGCACCTCCTTGCAGGCACTTTAATCTGCTGAACTATTTGGTAGGTCCTGAGAAGAAACCTATACTGACAATGTTTAGACAATATATCATGTCTCCATCTTGTCTTCTGAATAACTACTATGAAGACAACAACATGTAATGTATTAATTATTGTAACTGCCCTATTAACCTTTTTTTATTTTATTTTTTCAACAAATAATACACTGCATATATTCTTCTTAGTGGTTAATTGCTGTACAAGATGCGGACTTGTGATCCTATTTACAAACACCATTAGAACAAATCATTCTATTCATTAACAGAATGTAACTATATATCTATCCCAACCACTTTGAATACACAGATACAAAATGGACATTCAGGGGCTGGTGAGATGGCTCAGTGGTCTAAAGCACCTACTTAGATCAAGCTTAGCAAAGCACAGGGACCACGGTTCAATCCCCCAGCCCCACATGCCAGCCAGCCGCGCCCCCTGGTGGACTGAGCTGGCCACACACACACACACACACACACACACACAAATAAATTAATTAATTAAAAAAAAATGGACATTCATCTGTATACCCCATTTTTTCTAAGTTCCATTATCCTATTAACCTTTTTTGAGGGGCCAGGGAGATAGCTCAGTGGAATAAGCACTTCCCTGGCAAGCACAAGGGTCTGAGTTCAATCCCCAGTTCTGCAAAAAAACAAAAACAAAAACAAACCTTTTCTGAAACTGTTTCATTGCTATTTTATCTTTTTTCTCATTAAAATGAATTTTAAAAACCAAAATTAATTAATTAATTAATTAAATATATTAAAAACTGTGAAAGAGTGTCTACCAATGAATTAGATGTTAAAATGGCATATCAAAGTGACTAAACATTGGGAAATCTATATAGAAACATAAGTTGTCTTCATATAATTTAGTGGAGAAAGACTGTAAAATATTATATACACTAGAAAGTATATACATACCTATGGAAGAGGAAATAAACTTAAAAAATAGACGTACATGTTTTATTTTCAGAAATGAAAAACTTGCCACAATGCATACTTTTAAAATTATTAAAAAATAAATAAAATAAAATAAAATAATTACATTTATCATGTAAGCCATTTAAGCATATAATTCAGTGACATTAAACATGCTCATGGTGTTGTGAACCACTATTCATCTCCAGAACCTTTTTCTCATCCAACAGTACTGGATATTGAAACCAAAGTATTGAGACACATTGCAGCCCTTTTTATTTTATATTGAGACAGGGCCTCATTACATCACCCAAGCTGTCTTCAACCCTACAATCCTTTTGCCTCAGCTTCCCAAGTATCTGGGTTTCTAAGCATGTACTACTATTTCTGGCTCCTAACCTTTTCATGACTCCAAACTGGAATGTACTTATGCTTCTGAACAGTTAACTTTTGTTTTCTCTTTCTCCAGAATTTGCCATTTTGAGATACTTCATGTGAGTGGAATTATACAGTATTTGCTTTTTTGCATCTGGCTTTAACAATTTAAAAAAGAAAATGGAAAACTTTTCAATAATAATAAATAGGAATTTAAAATTATAAATGAAGAAAAAGCTGATTATTGTACAGATAGGGTAACATTAGCCATTCAGCGCATTTTAATCTAGTTAAGCTGACCAAGAACAACTCCTTCAAGGAAGTTGATCGCTTTGCAGTCCAGTCACTCACTGTTAGCCCTGACTCCTGCAGAACTGGCCAACTCAGGATGGCTTACTCCAAAAACAGGCACAGAGTGTAAAGCACCAGAAGCAGTATCGCCTGAGTAAGCACAATTCCACGGGCATTTTCCACCCATTGTACCTCCAAAAGTTCACCAGTTCTGAAATCTAATTGCTCCATGTGCTCTCTAAACCACTAGCCTGTTCTTGGAGTAACTAACCAGCAGAGGTTATCCTTAATCCACCACTGAGCCATCTCACCAGCCCCGTTAATCCAGTAACTAATGAATTCAGCAATCCTTTATACTATAGATTAAGGGGAAACAACAAACAGATGCTAAATGCTGGCTGGACATAAGACATTACTGTAGAAATCAACATAGCTGATTATTTAAGTTGTGTTATAAAAATTGTTCTTGAAATTAGGTAGTTTTCATCATATTGTCCTATGAAACTGGAGACTTCACTAGTACAATAACAGAAATTGGTTATAAGTCTTTTTAAGAAGTAACTGCATGCCAGGCATGGTAGTACATGCCTGTAATTCTAGGATATGGGAGGCTGAGGCATGAGATCACCACAATCTTAATGTCAGACTATGATGCTTAGTGAGTTCAAGGCCAGCCTAGACTACATAGCAAGACCCTTCCTCAAACAAACAAGCAAAGTACTCAGGAGTAATCAGTAGGATAGAAGTGTTATTTTTACCTTTAATGGTTCTTTATGAGCCACATAGTCCTCAGGATGCCCCAAAAACTTTTCTTTAGCCTCAGCACTAGAAAAGTAATACATTTTCTCTCGATATTTAGCTGCTTCTTCTGTGTTGCCTGGCTGTAGGATGAAGTTTTCTTTGAGAACCACTGGACAAAAATGCTTCGTGTCTCCCAAATGCCTGCGTTTCTCTTCTGCTTTTTCTTCATTCTAAAAATATTCAGTTCAGAGAATATTAAAGCCCCACTTTGAAGCAGTGCTAAAGAGAAAATTTCATGTTTTATTTTTTAAATTTTATTTATTTAGTGTGTGTGTGTGTGTGTGTGTGTGTGTGGCCAGCTCAGCCCACCAGGGGGCGGCCCTGGCTGGCATGTGGTGCTGGGGGATTGAACCATGGTCCCTTTGCTTTGCTAAGTTTGTTCTAAGTAGGTGCTTTAGACCACTGAGCCATCTCACCAGCCCCAAGAGAAAATTTTAAAAATTCACCTTGACTAATATCTAACCTATAACAATCCAACTTAAAATAATCCATGAAAGATTAACCTTATACTATTTTAATAAATTAAAATTCAGTTTATCATATTCCTCTAACTTCAATTCTAAGTGTTTTTCATTAAAAAAAAAATTAAGCAACACTGAGCATAAAGGTGCTCTGCCTTCGCAAGCACAGAAGCAATGGGAAACTCCAGCTTGTGCTGGGGCAGGGTCAATGTGAAGTCAGTCTCTAAAATAAAATTACTTTCTAGAACTAAAAGCTGAGTCAGCTCACAACTTTTTACCTATTGCAAATTAAGTAGGAGACATCATAGAATTGCTATTCTTCCTTTTAAGAGGATATATGATCAAATGATAATTTGGAAATATTTAGTGCAAATGAAAAACACAACATACTTTTCATTTGTGATACAAATGTGCAAAGTATTTTAAGGACACTTACAGAATAGAAATAAATGAACATGGTTGTTATAAAGCACTTACTCCAGAAATATCCAAACACATCACAGTGCATAGTGAAAATCTCCTTTCACCTTTTCCTTTCAATGCTATGCACACTCTTAGAAATTTTGAGTTCCTTCTAGACTCTGCTCAGAATCTGCTTTCTAAGTAATACTATCAATACACACACAAAATAAACATATACTTAGGCATGAAAATAGTATTCTTAAAATTACAAATGAAATATTTAACTTAATTATTCCACAACATGATTCTTTTTACAAGAAATACAATCACTGTCTGTAAAGTGACAAGGATGAGCTAAATTGGAACTCTTTTACATTATTCTTGTTCAACTTTTCTCCTTGGACATTCCCACTTCAAAATGGACTGAGAAGTAGTAGGTTTTTTTTTATTGTTTATGATGTGGAAGCATTTACAGAACATAGGAAACAAAAAAGAACATAGGGAAATGAACACATAATACATCTATAATGGAAGCATATATTACCTATAAAACCCTCTATCATTTTTGCTTAGCTTTAATTTTTCTTCCTAATTAAATTTTAGTAAATGACTTTGTGGCTTAGTCTTTTTTTTTGACTTTCAAATTTGTTGGTACAAAATCCCTATAATTGAAAACAACTCCTTTAAAAATCAGATTTTATGCCCATTTTGTTTCATGAGTTGTTGTGCTAGTGTTCCTTTTACCTAAGTCAACTGGCTGTAAATTCATCTGTGGACCTAAAAATTAGAGAAAAAGAAGGGCTACAAGGATAGCCAACATTTTGGCCATTGCTCTTCAAGGTCAGTGAGGACTCAGGACATAAGAGAACCTGTACTGTAACATCCTGTAACTCAGTGGTGTCCCAAATTTTCTGATCAAGGAGATTATGGGGCCACAGAGCAATGTGATCAATGATGTAGAGTGTGCCTAAGGAGAGTCACATGGAGAGAAAACATTCTCTCAGGTTTTCACAGTGAGCAAATTGGTCAAGCAATGGTCATGACTCATCTACATGAATGACACTGACAAAGGATCTGCAAACTGCAGTACATGGTTTCAGGCTAAATCCTGAGGGGATTTGACTGCCTTGTCAGATACAAAAGTTACATTTCTTGTTATATAGGTCTTGCTTTATCATGGTCTTAACCATCCAGCAGAAAAGTATAAAAATGTATAAAAAGTAAATCCATATTAATACAGTGAGCTGTAAAAGGTTCAAGTCAACAATTTCTGACATTGCCAGGCCTACAGATAACCCTAAAGAAGTTTTAATGCATTTCTTTTTTAAAAAAATGTTAATTAATTCATTAATTATTTGGTACAGGGTCTTGCTATGCAGCTTGGACTCATAGTGATCATCTTGTCTCAGCCTCCCCAGCACTGGGATCGCAGGAGTGCACCACCAGGCCTGGTTTTGGTAGCTGGCTCGGCACCCACAGCCTGCACAGCGTGTGGTACCAGGAACCGAACCTGGATCCTTGCGCTTGCCAGGCAGTTGCTTAGACCACTGAGCTATCTCAACAGCCTCTAACTTTCTTCTTGAGTTCTACTTTCATTAATACCCAGAGTGTCTTTTTTTGGTTGTTGTTGTTATCATGTACCTTTTACGTCTTGACTCACTTGAATCATTTTATTTTTAAAAGCTAATTGTTGTAAATGACCTACATTTTGTAATAACACAAAAAGAATTTAAATGCTCAATGATGATTTGTTTTCTTCTAAAAGTTTCATAGTTTTAGGCTATACATTTGGACCTATCACTCATTCTGAGTACATTCAAAAAATAGATAACATTTGATTCAATGTTCAAAATTTTGCATAAGAAAATACAACTGTTCTGGTACTATTTGTTGAATGGTATAATTCTTGAACTTGGAATTCATTGAGCTTCTTGGATTTTTCTGTTTCCAAATTAGGGAAAAAAAAGTCTATCTCCTGACTTGCATCACATTCTCTTAGGTTGCTTGAAATTTTTCTGCAAATTATTGATATTCTCATTTTATTTGCAGATGTTCTTCTTTTGTTTAATTTTTGATAGTTTTTATTACTGTTTCTTCAAGTTCACTAATCTGCAACAGCTAAACTATCATCATTCCATTTAATGAATTTTTTTTTTTTTTTCGGAACCGGGGATTGAACTCAGGCCTTTGTGCTTGCCAGGGAAGTGCTTATTCTACTGAGCCATCTCCCTGGCCCCGATTTAATGAATATTTTTATTTAATACTTTTGACAAAAACGTTCAAGTGAGGGCCAGGGAGATAGCTCAGTAGAATAAAGTGCTTCCTTGGCAAGTGTAAGGGCCTGAGTTCAATCTCCAGTTCTGCCAAAATAAAAATAAATAAATAAAAAGTTCAAGTGAGGTATTTATCATATCTTCTGCATTGCTGCTTAGCTTACAAAATTTATAAAATACATTTATAGCAACTTTTAAAGTCTTTATCAGCTACTTGTGACAGCTTGTCAGTTTTGGATCAGTTTAAATTGACTGTTTTCTTTATTATAATTAATATTTTCCTGCCAGTTTACAGGTCCAAGAAACTGAATTTAGGTCAGAATTTTACCTTGTATATCATAACTATTGCTGAATTTTGTTCTTGGACACAAGTTATTTAACAGTAGTATTACAGCTTTGCTTATATCTTGCTTGTATGTTAGGCAAAGCCAGGGCAAATGTTATTCTTATTTCAGGTCTAATTATTTCCCACTCCAGAGGCTAAACTGCAGGGATCCGCTGGTCTCAATTGGATCCGTTCTACTCAGGAAGAAACCACATAGACAAGAAGACAAAAGCTGGAAGCTCTGGGCTCTGTGGTGGTGGAGGCCAATATTTTACCAAACCATGAAACCAAGGTGGCTATGGTGGCTCCAGCAGCAGCAGTAGCTATGGCAGTGGCAGAAGGTTTTAAACACTTCCAGGAAACAAAGCTTAGCAGGAGAGGAGAGCCAGAGAAGTAACAGGGAAGATACAGGTTTACAACAGATTTGTGAACTCAGCCAAACACAGTGGTGGCAAGGCCTAGCTGCTACAAAGAAGACATGTTTTAGACAATACTCATGCATATGGGCAAAAAACTTGAGGATTGTATTTGTGACTAATTGTATAACAGATTATTTTAGTTTCTGTTCTGTGGAAAGTGTAAAGCATTCCACAAAAGGGTTTTTTAAAAAAATTTATTTATTTATTTGTGTGTGTGTGTGTGTGTGTGTGTGTGTGTGTGTGTGTGTGTGTATGTGGCCAGCTCAGCCCACCAGGGGGTGGGGCTGGCTGGCATGTGGTGCTGGGGGATAGAACCATGGCCCCTGTGCTTTGCTAAGCTTGTTCTAAGTAGATGCTTTAGACCATTGAGCCATCTCACCAGCCCCCACAAAAGGGTTTTAATATAACCTTTTTTTGTACCCATGCTATTGATTGCTAAATGTAATAGACTGATTATCATGCTGAATAAATGTGTCTTTTTAAAAATGTTCTGTGTAAAGTTAGTCTACTCTGAAGCCATCTTGGTTAACATCCCCAACAGTGTACAGTTAGAATTCCTTCAGGGTGATGCCATATTCCATTTAAAATTTCTTTACAATTGCTTGGTTAAAGAAGTCATTGTCTTCAGAAACCTTGGTGTAGTTGAACTGACAGTTACTGTTGTGACCTCTGAATTTGACCTATGAAAAGGTCACCCAAGCAAACAGTCAGCTACTTGGTTATAAAAATGATTGTTGGCACATCCTTTGTATCTAAATTGAATAATGGTACCAGATAAAATGATAGGTGGGATTGAAGCTGTGTATCATCCATTATCATGTGTAACTAATGAATGATTTAATTCTCTTGTAAAGAAAAAGCTGGGCTAGGTGGTCACTGGTCTGCCTGGTAGATGAGAGGAATGCCATCCCACAACAAAACCAACTTTTATTTATACCTTTGCAAAGTTAGTAACACATAACACAAGGTTGCCTAGCGACTAATAGCTGACCCTAATCAGACAGGATGTTTATCTCAGGACTGAGGTAGCTTGTTTGCTTTAGGCACTGAGGCCTAGTCCCACTACACATATTTGATCCATTTCCTAATGCCTATGATTTGTGGAATTTTCTACTATATTATTAATGAACCATGTATAAGTGTTAGATATTATGAACAGCCTGAGACTTATCTGTAGATACAAATAAGAGACTATTGTATAGCAAGCTGGAGTGGGACACAGAAGAAAGCACCAAACATTACAGAAATCTGATGAGAAGAGAACCTAACCATAGGCAGAACAGAGCTCACATCTGGGAGCCACTCCACCTAACAGTCCCCTCAGTTCCTCAGGGATAAAGCACTGGAAACTGTTATCAGAATCACTGTATGTCATTGTTGCTACACACACACACACACACACACACACACACACAATCCTGGCATTTTAGGGAGTCAAATAAACCTATGTAAGGAGGGGAGAGTGTGTGCCAAAATACTTAATTCTAATGGCAAGGATGGCTATTTGTTCAGTAAGAGTCCAAAAAAGATAGTTACCACTCTGAATATATATATTGCCATTGACTTGCCAGATAAGAATGAGTAGTAATAAAGCAATCATGCCTCTTCTTCTTCTTCCTCTTCTTCTACCTCTTCATCATCTGCTTCAGCTGTATAGTCTTCTGCATCTTCATCATAATCCTCCACAGTCAGCTCCATTGCACGATACTGAAATGGTTCTGTTAAAAAATGAAGAAAATAATTTTAGAATAAAAATACTAGCATAGTACAGTAGTTGAAGGTTAAGAAAATTAGTATTATGGATCTCTTGGTTTTAAAATATGCACAAATAAGCCTTTACAAATGCTTTATGTGACAAGTGGCCAGGCTGGCATCTCATGCACCTCCCAGCCATTCTGAACATAAAGAGCCTGTGCTATGACTGCACTCAAGTACTTCATACATGACCCTTGGAAACATGGGATGTTGTTTCATAACTTATCCAGAGGGGTCTTGACATTTCAAACTTGTTTTAATTCTAGTACCTGTTCTTCATCTTAAATGTTACACTGTAGCCCTTACTTTCCATAGTCTCAACTACTTTCTGAAGTAGTTCCTTTGGTGTTTTGTTGGCAATCTCCAGGTTTAAAATTTGAATGAAAGATTCACTTATGAGTGATTCCAGCTGTTTCCACATGGTCTTGAAAGATTCAATCTTCTCTTTAAAAGGCTCCATTTCAGGAACATCAGGATAAGCATCTTCTGGGAACTCAGGTAGTACAACTTTTATATGAAAGTTAGAAGAAAGAAAAGACAGTCTTTAAGTAGCCTAATTAACCATACTGCCAAAATAACTTACATTCTATAATATTTTAAAACATTAGAAAGAAGAAATTTAATAGTTTAATCCATAATATACTTTCATAAATTCATACTTTAATTATGCTTTCTTCTTTATATGCTGTAGACGAATCATTACGTAGAAATAAAACTCAAATTATTTGAGCAGTTAATGTTTCATAAAAAAGTATTAACTGTTAACATAATTTATAAAATAAAATTTGATGAAAATCAGTCATAAACTAGCTAGCCACACTTAAAGGAATAAGCTAATTAAATAGAACAAGTATCAACTGGCAGACAACACAGAAGTAAGTAAGATGCACGTATTATCCTCAAAATAAGGAATTAGGCCATGTAAGACAGATGAAAAACATCTTTATGTACTACTTCTATTTTACAGCCTAACCTGTTTCAAATAATTCTTCAGTTTCCAGGCCCTCTTTGGATCCTTTCAGAATTTCTGTTTCAATTGCAGTATCCTCAGCAGGCTCAGTGACTTAAGAAAAAAACTAATAGTCAGTATTTGGATTTTAAAAGGTTAATTTATTTAAGAAAGTATTGGTACAAGAAAATTTCAAAACACTGTTTAAATTGTATATAACATGTCTAATTGAAAACATAATTAGAAACATAATTATCTTCTTGTTAGGTAAAGATAAAAAAAAGAATACTTTCTTCTTTATAGGGCAGGTGAGATGGCTCAGTGGTCTAAAGCACCTACTTAGAACAAGCTTAGCAAAGCACAGGGACAGTGGTTCAATCCCCCAGCACCACATGCCAGCCAGCCCTGTCCCCAGGTGGGCTGAGCTGGCCACACACAAACACACACACAAATAAATAAATAAATAAATAAAAATTAAACATTACAATGCTGCAGACTCCTTTAAAAAAAAAAGAATACTTTCTTGTTAGGTAAAGAATAATAGTATGAGGCAAATAATAAAGAATATACTTAAATATATAAAACAACACAGACTCCTCTACTAATTGACATATACTATACATAACTACAGTTTAAAACTTGTTAAACATGTTTCAAACTTCTGTTAATATGGCTTTATACTTTTAGTGCCTCATATTCCTTTAGTTGTTCATTAAAATATTCATGAAGATACACCAAGTCCAGAAAGTGGCAATAAGTGATGATGATATTACAAACCCCAAGCAGTGAGTATAAGAGTGGAGAAATTGAGAAGAAGCTCACCTTACTGTGAAAGGAAATGACTATAGCTTAGGTTTTTCCTTGATATAAGATATGGAATTAGTTAATTATGTATCAAGCAATTTGATCTTGGGCTTTTCACTCCCTAATACTAGAAGAAAATTAATTTCTGCTGTTGAAGCACTTGTTACAGTATTTTTTATAGTAGCCTAAAAAGTTCAAGACATTGACCCATAAAGTCAATGCAATAAAATGATCTATGTTGAACTTGAGGGTTCTCATTGTTACATTTTTTCCCCTACTGTTCACTTTACTAATCTACACCAAATTCCCAGCCCTTAGCAATCTAGTCTGGAATCTAGCTGCCAATATCTGAAGACTTTTTGTTTGTAGAGTTCATTTCTAATCTAGCACTAACTGTGCTTGGAAGCACCTATTAGCCTCATTACCACCATAGTGGAATATGCTGTCTTTGTCTTCTCTACTCCTTATGTTGCAGGCAGCTAAATTAGATAGAAATATTATAGGCAGCTAGACAGAGCTAGGCCTTCAGGGAGACACTATGGAATACAAGATGACTTTGCAACTTTGGGAGAGACAGACACCCCTGGTGAGGGTCATACCCCAGGACAAAAGAGCAAACAAATGCAGCCACATACTTCCCTAAAAATGGGCATCAGGGATTGATATTCTAAGCAGGCACCAATCACCTAGAAGCCAGAGAGAGACACTGACCCAACCCCCAAAATGAAAATCCTCTGTTCTGTATTCATGCCTGATTACTACATGACTCACTTCCCCATTTGGTCCTGGGTTTAATCAATTTTACCTGAGCAATTGTGCTTGTAATCTTATTGGTTGACCATAGTTTTGCCCCACCTCATGTGAGTTCCCATGTTTCTCACTTTGGACCCACCTCACTACATGGTTTTACTCTATAACAATCTCTGGAAGAGACAGATTCCAGGGCAACCTGCTCAGGTCCCACTTCTGCCCCTTTCTCAGACAGAAGCTTTCTTTCCCCCAATAAATATATTCTGCTTGTTAATGTTTGTGTCTAGTTGTCCTCCCAAAGCCTCATGCAGTCATGGGGCAGACTTCTAGACTTCTAAATTGGGATTATGGGTGTAAGTAATTCTGGGATGAGGAGTGTAAGTGCTACACCCAGCCTGGGGCAGACAGACTGAATGTAACACAAGGCAAGCAGACTTGCTGTCTGTTGCCATTATTGCCACTCCTCCTCCCATTTGCTCTTGCTCTTTGACACCATTGTGAAAGGCTGCTCTCTGCCATGTGCCACTCTTCCTTGGAGCCAGCTGAGTATGAACTGAAACCTCCACTAACTGTGAACTAAATAAAACTTTCCTTCCTTCATTTTGGATGTCGGGTATTTGTCCCAGCAATAAGAGAAAAGTAAGTAATAGGACACTGCTCTTAACCTCATTTGTTCCTTGATAGGCTCTGGCCCTAGTATACATTGCTGAATTACTATGGAGGTAATCTAACATGGCTGAAGACCTTAAGACGACAGCTCATCTTCCCAGAGACCACCTTCCCCCTTCTTCTCCAACCCAACCCAGGGTGAAATTTCCTTTCACCTTTCCTGCTGCCACAAGCAAGACCCCAGTCAGCTCCTCAGACATTTCTAAACATAACGCTCAAACTCCACTCCTAGCAAAAGTCCAGAAAAGTCTCATGTCTCCATTTGTCTCAGGTCAGAGGATCTGCCCCACCTGCCTTTGTTCCTCTCCATGTCTCTGGAGTTAATAAAGGTTTCTTTTATCTTTCCTATCTCTTTACTGTGTTGTCTGAAAAACCTAACATTCCTAAAATTCATTCTTCAGTTTTAGAGAACAGAAAGTCATCCCAGTTATCTTTCAGGTTGGGAGTTTCATTCCCTTATATCACTTAGGGTGACTTTCATTGCCCACAGACTCCTCACCTGACCCAATCCACAAAAGTAGGCCTTGAGATGGGGTTGACTCATGTGTGTGTGACATGAGGAGTTTTATAGGGTTTCTTGAAGGGCTCCACTCTTAGTGTTGATAAAAAATGAAAAACACAATGACGAAGTTGGGTGTAAAAGGTCAGAAGAAAAGGAAAGTTTTTATAGTTTAGTACATTTAATGGCCCATGCTTTCTGGACAATGTGTCCTGCTTGTAACATCAGTGCTGGGACAAAACAGCCTTGGCTTTCTTACCATGCTACACATTATACCATCTAAACATTCTCAGCAGTTTGGAAGACTCATCTTTTCATCTTTAGCCAGCTTCCATTTTATACATACACACTCTCTCTCTCTCTCTCTCTCTCTCTCTCTCTCACACACACACACACACACACATACATACACATGCACTCACACACACATATACACTAATGGATCAGAGTAGAATGAAGGACAAATCCCTCAGAATATGCCCACCTGATTCATGCTCTATTTTAGGAACCTGAGACATTTCAGACTCTTCATGTAACAGTGACTCTCTGTTCTCAGATGCTTCAGGTGCCTCAGATTCTCCATGGAATTCAGATTCCTCACCCTCAACTTCTTCAGCTCCATTATCAGCTTCTTCAGCTTCTAGAAAACACCAGAAGGAACAAATTAGCATTCAGTTTAAGTCAATGAATATTTATTAGGTACTAAATACTGAGTCTAGAACAAAGAATAATCATATCTACTAAAATGTAGTTAGACCATTTACATTTAGCCAGTCCAAATAGCCAGATAGCTCAGCAGACTAAAGCACCAGCTTAGACACATGCAGGGACCAGGGTTCAATCCCTGGAGTGCTGTGCCAGCTCTGCCCCCAGGGTGTACTGAGAGGGCAATGGAGACTGAGCATGGTGATGCACACCCTTAATCCCAGCACTTGGGAGGCTGAAAACAGGAGGATCACTAAGAGTCCAATCTGTGTAGTGAGACCCTGTAGTTCCTGTACTAAAATACATTAAGAAAAAAGAATAAAATGTCATTAGATAAAAATATTATATGTTGTCAGACAGGGCTAGGCCCTCAAAGGACCCAATATGGAAGACAAAATATCTTGCAACTGTGGGAGAGAGATAGGCACCTCAGCTGTGGGTCTGGACCTCAAGACAAAAGATTAAAGAAATGCAGCCACATACTTCCCTAGGAATAGACACCAGGGACTGATATTCTAAATAGGTATCAATCACCTTGAAAAAAGTCAAGAAGAATCACTAACCCAACCCCCTACAGGAAGAACCTCCATTGTGTATTCAGCTTCCCCATTTGATCCTGCTTTAATCAATTTTACCTCAGCAGTTGTGCTTGTAATCTTATTGGTTGGCCATTTTATCCCACCTTATGCCCACCTAGGGAATTCCCATTTTTTCCCCTTAGACCCACCTCACTTCATGGTTTTGCTGTATAAAAGTCCCTAGAAAAGAAAAGTTGCTTGGCAACCTACTTGGGCTCCCTTCTGTCCCTCTCTCAGACAGTTTTTTCCCCCAATAAATAAAGTCTGTTGTTTTTAAAAAATGTGATAAAGAAGGACAATCATCTATTCATGGTCTTAGGAAAGAACCAGGCCAAGGATTTATTCAAAAGAAATTTTATATCAATCTAAAATATTCTAACAATAAAAGACTAGAGACAGCCCAATGCTCATTCAGTAACAGACTGCCTAGATCTGCATTGTCCAAAATGTTAGCCACTAGTCATGTGTGGCTACTGAGCACTTGAAATGAGGCCAGTCCAAGTTGAAACATATGTTAAGTATTCAACATACAAAAGGACATCAAAGGGTTAGCATAAAAACACTGAATGTAAAATGTGTGGCTACTACAAAATTGTAAGTTATTTATGTGGCTTACACTGGGCAACACCAGGTTAGACTGTATACACAATTATAGCTTCCCTAACAGTTAAGTAAAAGCAGTAAGTAGTAATATATTAATATGCTAATTTTTAATTTATAAAACAATTATAAGTTTGGGGCGGCTGCTCACAAAAAATTATATGCATTAAATCTTTCAGGAAAAAGATGGCAGTGGTATCAGGAAACTCATCTCCCTTTCACATACTTATGAAACTGGCATACATTCATGAAATGGAATTTGAGGATTTTCTATGCAAAGATGATTTGAAAAATGTAAACGAGCTTGCTTTTTATACTCCTGTAGAATTCACTCTGCCAGTGAGCTCCTACAAATATCACATTCTCATGGTGTGATACAACTCTGATATCCAAGTCTTATTTATCTTTAGAGGATTACATGCCAGAGTAAAGTATCCTAGAGAATCCTATTATCTGTCTGAAACAAGACTGCAGTCTGTGTAGCTTCCAAGTATGTAACTTGAAAAGTGGTGAATCTTTTTGTAGTAAATTTAAAGTTTTATGGTAATACCCTCAAGTGTGAAGCAGTACTTACTGAATCCTACTGCAGCTGGGGATAAAGCTGCATAGCCAACACAAGAAACTAGAATTTTCAACTACATATCTTAGAGTAAAAAAAAATAAAATATATATATATATATATATATATATATATATATATATATATACCTCCAATGTGTGTAGATAAATTTACTTCTAGGTTCTATTCCTATCTATATTGGATAAATTATTAAAAATTTATGTAAAGAAGTTCAAATCTTTTCTTAAAAACCCCAATGACTAATCTGCATACCATATAAATAATGGATGAATCAAAAGGTAGGTGGTCTAAGATCCTTCAACTATTTGTGGTTTTGACTGCTATCTGTGTTATATTAATTATCCATTGACTCATAATAAATTACCAAAAAAAACTAGTGGTTAACCCAATATCACACCATTCCTTACAGTTTCTGTACAGAGAAGTGGCTTAGCTGCAGCGCTCTGGCTCAGAGTGTTCCAAGTTGCTCTCAAGGGTTACTGGGACTGGAAGATGCACTTCCAAGGTAGATGATTCAAACCGGAATTCCTGTGCTCAGGGAACAAAAACTGCTTCCATGGGACCTTCCTCAAGTCTTGACCCACAAAATGGGTTGGGTAATAAAAATGAAGGTTTCCTTAAGTTTAGGAGTAGCCTGTCCAAAGCAGTGGAAAACTAAAACTATACCCTTCACTTTTCAGCCATGGGTCCCTCTGGCAGTCTGGTAAAACTTATGGCCCTTTTTTGCTTGAAACAATGCACTTGCTTGCAATAACAATACAAGAATAAATTACACATTATTCATCTTATCAATCTATGTTGACCTTTTGCTCTTTCATGCATAGCATCCAGTAGTCTTTGCTTTTCTTCTTCTATTCTCAATTCCTCTTCTTTAGCCTTTCTGAAATGAAATGGCTCAAAATTTAATTATGTTTGCAGAATCAGACATATCACATTATTACATTATTAACTGCTTATGGCAATAAAAAGAGAAAATCATTTATATATTCAATATATTTTTACTTTATAATGTACAATTTTATTTATTTTATTTTTTTTCTTTTCAAAGTTTTATTGATAAACATATAGCAATGAGACAGTTTCAAATCAAATCGAAAGTACAGTTTCAACAAATAATACACTGCATATATTCTTCTTAGTGGTTAATTGCTGTACAAGATGCAGACTTGTGATCCTACTTACAAACACCATTAGAAAAAATCATTCTACTCATAAGAGAATGCAACTATATATCTATCCCAACCACTTTGAATACACAGATACAAAATGGACATTCATAGTTATACCCCAATTTTTTTTAAAGTTCCGTTGTTGAATATTATAGGTGTGTAACCTCAGCAAAATATTCTAAAAGAGTACAGAAGCCCATAATAGCATTGGGTCTTCTGTTTAATTGGCAATGTCAGAAATTATTGACGTGAGTCCCCCACAGCTCAACATAACAACATGGCTTTACTTCCTATATTTCATCTTCATACTTTTCTACTGGATGGTTAAGACCAAGGTAAAGCAGAACCTATGCAACAAGAGTTGTAGCTTTTTGGTTTGACTCTCCTTAGGCACACTCCACGTCATCGATCAATTTCCTCTTTGGCCCCATAACCTTCTTGATCAGAAAATCTGCGACACTACCGAGGTACATGACGTTACAGTACAAGTTCTCATATGTCCTGAGTCTTAATTGACCTTAGAAGGGTAGGGCCAAAATATTGGCTTTCCTTGTAGCCCTCCTTTTTCTCTAATTTTGGTCTGCAAACTTAGGTTGTTAACCATCCAGAAGACAAGCTTATTGTTATTATCAAACGATTTACGCTATCAAGCTTAACCTCACTATTTCACTACATTTCAAACATCTTAGGCATAATAAGGAACAGGTATTTTTCATCAAGTATTGATATGTTGAACCTTAAGTCCCTACATAATATGATAAAGAACATTTAAAAATTAGATTATATTTAGATTATATTAGATTATATATAGGATAAAGAATTCTATGCTTCTCATGTTTGCACATAAGTCCAAAAATCTCACCATATACAACCTTGAAGCAGGACTGTCCCACAGTATTCCTTTTCCTGTCTCTTGCTTTCATTCACCACCCCCTTCTTCTTGAACATCCACCTACCTGAGAGACATCTTAGCAGTAACTGGCATGTCATGACAAGCAGCCCGTGTTCAGAATACCACAATGACAGGCACTCCCAATATGAAACCACTATTACAAATTACCATCTGCAGTGCAGATGAAAAACTGGAATGTTACACTTCAAAAAAGTTTAATTATTAACTAGAAAATCTGTCAGAAGTAATAAAAAATTAGCTAACATAAGTTGAAGGGCAAAAGGATTTGAAACATTTTCCCTCTGATTAGATGGAAAATTATTCACAAATGTTAAGTGAAAAAAAGCAGAATATAAAACTGTATATACAACTTTAGCTTATATTTAAAATGTATATAAGATAAAAGAGTGGAAGAAAACTGAACAATTAACACATGGTAATTACCTATAGATGGTGTTATGAATGTTTTAACATATTTATCTTTAAGTTTTCTACATTAAATACATAAAAGTTGTAAATTTTTTCTAATTAGAAAAATTTGATTTTGTTTAAATGTATTTAGTACAGGGTCTACAGGATCTCACTACACAGATCGGACCCATAGTGAACTTCCTGTTTTCAGCCTCCCAAGCACTAGGATTACAGGTGCATGCTACCACACTTAGTCTCAGTTGCTGTCTCAGTGTGCCCTGGATGGGGAGTATCAAACCCTGGTCCCTGCATCTGCCTAAGCAGACACTTTACTCTGCTGAGCTTTCTGGTTGGCTCTTGAGTATTTATTAAAGAGACTAAAAACAGAAAAAAAGAGAGAGAGAGAGAGAAAAAGAAAAAAGAAAACACATTAGAACTGATACAGAATTTCACTAAACAAAATAATAAGAATTCAATAATGGCTGTTACACTGCAGCATGTTTTCTTCAAATTAGTTGTTTAGATTATCAGATATAAGCATACAAAATTGATTTTAGAAACATAAGAAACTGAAAAGGAGAAGAAAAAAATTTAAACATTAACTGCTCTTTTCAATAAAGCAGCAGAAATCAGCAGTACAATTATCCAAGCTATCCTGTAAATATACATAAATATACATTTTTTCCCGTCTTTCTTTCATCCTTTCTCTAATCCAAGCTTTTTCTTCCCTTTGAACAGATTCTTTCCCTTTCCCAGCATCTACTGTAATTTTAAGATTTTATTTACTCTTTCAGGTTCTTTTTTTTTTTTTTTTCTTTCAGGTTCTTACTCTAGGGAGACAATACAATGTTTGCAAATGTGGATCTGCTTTATTTTGCTTATGAGGATGGTATCTAGTTGCAGCCATTTACCTATAAAAGCTTCAAGTTCATCTTTTTTATAGCTGAGTAATTCTCAATTGTGTAAAAATACCACATCTTTATCCATTCCTCAGTTGATGGGATTATTTTCTTCTAACAGTTATGATAAAATTTTAAAATGGCTAGAATACCAAAATTTAAATATCTGTAAGGAATCTGATGTATTTCATTAAGGCTGGAGGACTCATTTTCCCTTAATAATGACAGGGAAGGCAGGTACAAGGAAAGTTAGCAAAATGATGGAGAAAGTATCTATGAAAAGTAAAGTTATGTGTATCTTTCACCTAGAAATTCCATCTGTAGAAACTCAGAAATAGGCATATTATTGCACAAAGAAACATATATAAGAATGACAATTGCATCTTTTAAAATTAGTATCAAAATAAACTACTTCAAGGGGCCAGAGAGATGGCTCAGTGGAATAAGCACTTCCCTGGCAAGTGCAAGGGCCTGAGTTCTATCTTCTATCCCTGTTTTTGACAAATAATAATAATAATTATAATAATAATAATAATAAATAAACTACAACAAATGTTCACTGGCCATGCTCTGGGGACCACTTGAGACCCAGCCCAAGCCCAGGCCTTGTGAGTGTGTGGGAGAGCTTCCATGCTCCCCTGTGCCCACTGGAACTCTCCACACCAAGTCCAGACCAGCCGCATGAGTGAGACCTTCTGCAGCGCTCTTGGCACCCCTCTACACCTTTGGAGCCAGCCCAAGCCTGCTGTGTAAGAACTTCCACCTCGCTCGCTCTTGGGATGCCTGCAGACTCAACCCAAGCCTAGACCCTGTGAGTGTGTGGGAGAGCTTCCCCCACTCTCATGCACCCACTGGACCTCTCCAGACTAAGCTGAGGCCCAGCGCATGAGGGAGAACTTCTGCCATGCTATCAGGAATCCCCCAGGCCCAGCCCAAGCCCAGGCCCTGAGAGCGTGTAGGAGAGTTTCCATGCTCCCCAGCAATCCCTGATCCCCTCCAAATCCAAACCATACATACGTGCCTGGGGTGAATCTTTGCAGCTGAGTACCTGCAGAAAGAATAGGTGCCAGAACAAACCAACTAATCTAGAAGCAGAACATCTTCCCAGAGGGGCACAACAGGTTCACTTCCAAGAGCTGCAGCAGGAAGGAGCTGAAAACAGCAGCCACACCCAAGCCAGGCACAACTGTATGGATGCAAACTTAGTAGACATGCATCCAAATTTTCAGTAGGTGCTGAGGTTATAACTGCACCAAAGCTCTACACTAAAGGTCAGAGGAGAGTGCTATACAAAATGAGAAAGAGAAGGAGTAAAATGCAATCTCAGGCTACAACCCCACCCAGAACAAGTGCAGAAGATACTAGCACAGAAGAAATTGGGAATCACACAGTTGAAATGTCTGAATCAATAGGATCTAAAGGAAAGAAACAACTGCAGAAAGTTATAGAGGAACTCAGATCAGAAATAAAATCTGAAATAAAAAAGAAATCTCTGAATTAATAGCATCTGAGTAAAGAATCAAATGCAAAAACATGTAAAGCAAATCAGACAAGAAATGATTTCTGTAGTAAAAGAATCAATAACTGCATCTCAAGAAGACACTGATAAAAAAGTACAGGAGATTAGAAAAATGACAGATTCCCTGAATAAGCAATACAGGAAAGAAATACATCACATGAAGCAGAGTCAAAGAGATATAGAGGAATTTGAAATCTCTATCAAAAGCTGGCAAAACCAGTGAAGAGTTTCAGATCTTGAAGATGCCGTCACAGCTAGGGAAAAGATAAGATCTCTTTATTTATTTTTTTAATAGCTATATTTTTCTTCTTTTTTTCAAAATTTTATTGATAAACAGCAATGAGAGTGTTTCAAATCAAATCAGAAGTACAGTTTCAACAAATAAAACACTGCATATATTCTTCTTAGTGGTTAATTACTGTACAAAATGCGGACTTGAGATCCTATTTAAAAACACCATTTGAACAAATCATTTTATTCATTAAGAGAATGTAACTATATATCTATCCTAACCACTTTGAATACAAAGATACAAAATGGACATTCATCTGTATCCCCTTTTTTGGTTAAGTTCCAATATTTGAATATTATAGGTGTGTAAACTCAGCAAAATAGTCTAAAAGAGTCCAGTACCCCATAACACTATTGGGGCTTCCGCTTCACTGGAAATTTCAGAAATTGTTGACCTGAGTCCCCTACAGCTCAATGTAACAGCATGGCTTTACTTCTTACATTTCATTTTTATACTTTTCTGCTGGATGGTTAAGACCAAGGTAAGCAGGACCTATGCAACAAGAGTTGTAGCTTTTTGGTCTGAGAAGGCCAGTGAAAACCCCTCAGGATTTATCCTGAGATCCTGTACCTCAGATTGTAGAACCTTTGTCAGTGCAGCCATGTGGATGAGTCACGGCCATTGCTTGGCCAATGTGCTCTGTGAGAAAGCCTGAGAGAGTGTCTTCTCCCCATGGGACTCTCCTTAGGCACACTCTA